GGGTAGCTGGTTAATGATTGATCTAGCGGACGGCCAGTCTCCTTGTTCTAAACACGCGTGGCATATCCCAAGGACCTGGTTATGTTCAAGGGATAGCTTAGCTTTATGGTCTTCCTGGGAAGATTGAACGAGAGGCAAAGGGTGTGAAATCAAATTAAACCAAATCAAATTAAAATACTTTTAATTTTTGAGCTGCCTCTGCCTCTTTCTCCTTCTCCTCGTCAGTTTTGTCCTACAAATCACGTCATCACATGACAGTCAGGTGACCTATACTCACCGTCAGTGTCACTATATTGGCCTTTCTATAAATAGCATTAGCATTATCAGCTATTGACTGGTGGAGCTCCTTAAACTCTTCCATTGATAGACGTAACTATTAATAGACTCGGCTAAGCTCTGCCCCTAACTCCACCCATTTCTTACGTGAGGTGTGAGTCCATGTATATTAATCATTCCTTCGTTCAGCAGTACAGCAGTGAGGGAGTAGAGGGAGGGAGGGGTAGGGGGACACTGACCATCAGAATCAGACTATAATTAAAGATAACAATTACGTGTACATACATGGGCAAGTACATTGTACAGCTGGTAATTTTAAAGGAGGGAACTTTTAGCTAATTCCCATGATTGACTAAATTTAACTTAATTTTAAAAAGTTTGGCAAAGGATCACCCTTTCGTGTTACGGCTTCTTATAAATTAGGAGCCTTTCCCTTCTAAATGTTACCCCTCTGTAAGGGAACTCACCAGGTGGTAAGTATGATACTTGAACCCGAGTATATTGATGAAGGTTGATGAAGAACAAGGGTAGCTTCTTAATAAAGGTATGAAGAAGTGTCGCTGGTCGAAATGAGACTCAAACGCTTGAAGAATGACATCTAGAACACGATTGGGATCCATGCTGAATCTACCTACAAATGAAAGACAGTATGATAAGGTATTATTGAACAACTAATGATCATATTGTAATGTTAATGACAGCACAACTTAATTAACCAGTGGTTAATATATTAATGGTTAACTAACCTATTAAAGACTTGATGCTGTCCAGTACTTGTCCATGGTCCACGCCCACCAGAGGCTCGTGTCCCAGCTCGCCTTATAAGGTAAAGAGAGAGTCAGTTAATGATGCTCTTAGTTTACTTATGAGCTTTGAGAATCCTTCGTTCTCCTCGCGGCAAAGATTAAATTTCTGTTGCTTATAACTACAAATAGAGAGAGAGAGGAAGGAGAGAGGAAATGGAAGATGAGAATAGACAAATAAACAAATATAAATAATAATAATAATAATACACATACATACTAATAATATACAGTAATATCTAATACATATACATACTATAATAATAATGCATATTAATATATCCACAGATTAAATTGCTTACTATATTTTAGTTTTAGTTTTCACGTATTTTTGATTGAAGCTATTCTTTGATGATATGAAACCAGCTCCTTCCAGCGAGTCCATGTCTAATCTTTCCTTCAATAAATCATCACCAGTCACGCTCTACACACAATATCTCATCAACTTTATTAGTACCAGATTGTGATAATAATAATGTACCACTAATGAGAGGGTTAGAGACCTCAAGGACTTTCTTTGAGATTTGTCTTCACTGCATGAGACCTCAGCATCTTATAAAGGGGAGGGGCAGGGGGAGGGGCATAGTTATATGAATATTAATGAAATACCTAATGATGATAACACGTCAGTGATGAGAGAAGAGAGGATTGGAGAAGAGTCCTGTATAGGGAAGAAAAGATAATTGAATGGAAGTTGAAGTTGCTCAAAAATTGGACAAAAGTCCCTGTACTATAGTAAAGGGATTTTGGTCAAATTTCACCAAAATTGACAAGTAGAAAATTCCTCAATTTTATTACACTTTCTGATACATATACATGTACTTATGCTGTGTAGAAAGTTTGAGCTAATTCCGATCAAGTTTGGATTTTTTATGATTTTTTAAAGTTACTCCAAAATCGGACAAAAGTCCCTGCACTATAGTACAGGGATTTCTGTGAAATTTCACCAAAATTGACAAGTAGAAAATTCCTCAATTTTATTACATTTTCTGATACATATACATGTACTTATGCTGTGTAGAAAGTTTGAGCTAATTCCGATCAAGTTTGGATTTTTTATGATTTTTTAAAGTTGCTCCAAAATTGGACTAAAGTCCCTGTACTATAGTACAGGGATTTTTGTCAAATTTCACCAAAATTGACAAGTAGAAAATTCCTCAATTTTATTACATTTTCCGATGCATATACATGTACTTATGTTGTGTACCAGACACTTACTAATGATGTTAAAAGTGATTTACAGAAATCCCCAACCTCATCTGAATCAATCTCATTATTGATACAACATGAGAAGAGATCGTAAAACAATCCATATAAAGCTGGAGGGGGAGAGAGGGAAAGGAAAGGGAGAGACACAAGACGGAAGAAAAGAGGAAAGGGATAACATCAAAAAGACACAACAATCTAGGAAATTCAATTATTATTAATTAATTAGGCCATTAATTAAGCAGCTGTAGTGCTACCCTTCCAATTAAAGCCCACCTGTATATGCATCAACCACCTGCGCACATAATTACAAGTAAACAATAAACAAAGCATTTAAATATTTATTTATTCATTTATTAATCTTACAGCTTTCAGCAGATCTGTGAAGATTCATCATGCTGTCATGATTAAATGACGAAAAACTCTCTTTGAAAAGAGCCAACCTGTTAAAAATAAATTTAAAATGATAATATGAAAATGCCTTACGCTTCTTCTCTGCCTTTAGAGGACCAATTCTTCACAAGCTTCTGCATTCCTTCCATTTTTTACCATGTGTAGGATCACGTGATTTTAATTTTATAATATTAGCCACGTGGTCAGGTTATTAATAATAATAAGCCACACCCCTCAAGTGATTGTTATTAATAATTATTATTAATTAATTAGTAAAAAAACACAAACCACAGATACTACAAATGCAAACTTTGATATAATAAATGTAATGAATATCATTGTACATTTGTATTAATTTGAAGTCTTTCGAAAAAGTTCGGTAGCTTTTGTGTCATGGTTTTCAGATGACTTTCAATCGATTGCGATGGGAAAACTCTTGAGTCTTCTTTTTGAGTCATCTGACAGAGAAACTGAGGTAGAGCAACAAGGAAATACACATTGTTAATGAAGTCAGTGTAATTGATTGGAGCTGCAGCTGACAGCAATTCATTTATATTGGTTAACAACTATAGAAAAAAAGAAAATAATAATTATCGTAATAATAATGATAATGTCTTACCATTTCCATATCTGATATAATACAGTGTATCACCAGTACTAGTGATACTTCTTGTGGGTTGAATACACTTCCATCATAAGATGTTACTGTACCCAAATCATCACTAGTCAGTAGTAGTTTATCCCATTCTTCCGATAAATTATTCAACAGCTGTGAGTACTGGTACAGGGTCTCAGGCAGGACTGATATTGCTTGTAGGTCATCAAGGCAGATATCTGTACCTCTTAGATCAACATCTTTTGGAATTGAACTCTGGAGCTTAGAAACTCCTTCAAAAAGATTCTTTAGTTTTTGAGAAACGAGAGGATTCAGAGCTGAAGGCTGTCCACACATTATGTCTAGAATTTGGTGATTATTCTCAATGAGTTTTATTGAACTTGATCTTGCTTAACTAAACTTGTTTTGAAATTGCCGAGTTGCTCCAGCTGGTTTTATAGCAGGTCTGCAGCTGTGAATATTTACAGCC